GTGGCGGTGGCGTCCACGCAGTGCTGAACAGCCGCGCGCACGCGAAGGGCCTCGCTTCGCCAGCAAGAGGGATCACCACCACCCTCCGTCGTCTCTAGCATCTCGAAGCCGGGCGTAATGGGCACGACGCGCATCAGCTCCAGTTGGATCGACAGCGCGATCTGGATGCCCACGAATATGTCCTGGCAGGCAATCATAAAGGAGTCCCCCACCGTCTTCACTTCATAGGCGCCATAGAAGGCGATAATAGATCGCACGATGCGGTGGTGGTTCTTGACCGCCGCCGCCATCACGTCCGCATTCTTGCCCCACAACCGCGTGCTCCCCTCGATGTCAGTGAAGACCAAGCAGAATGGCTCTGAGCTCTTTGGCGCCCGCATGTTCNNNATGAGCTCCCACACCCACACGAAGCGGGCCTCCATCGCCATGTTCCACTCATTCTCAAGAAAATGGTGGCACGCGTAAAGAAATGGTTTGCTGAACGACTTCATATGCTCCGCCGTAACATTGTACGCAACGTGCCGCCCGCCAAGCTCCAACATGTACTGCTCCACCTTGTTCATATCGTTTAGCCCTTCAAGAATGTCTACTAGCGACTGGAAAACCCGCCTGCTCGAACGAAGGTCTTTAAGAGGTTCAAAGGATGCGAGACGACTATCCATTTCGATTGCCTTTCCATACATGGTGCCTACAAACTGTCGCGGCCCCTCGAGACCCTCCTGGCGCTTGCGGATAAGGCCAAAATCACTCTGCAGCTTTTTCACAGTTTCCTGCTGATAAATCTTGGCATATTCTTCACCCCTAGAACCCTTGCTGCCACGTTCGACGGCCTCCAGTATCGTTGACCAGAACTTACGCCACTCCTCCTGGCATGCTTCGAAGACATCTTGACCAATGAACTGTGGGAATTCATGAAAGAACGCTTCCCGCATATGCTCAAAATGCTCGCTGGTGACACCATACACACGATGTCGTGCCCCCACAGAATGAAACATTTGCAGCATAACATCGGGTTTCCCGTAGACATGAACAGCCGTTGCAAGCATTCGCCCCAGCAGCTTCGGCTGTTCCGTCGACTCCACACCATCGAAAAATGACTGCATTCTCGGGATGCTCGCCAGCATGCTGTTGTACATGCGCTGCGCCAAGGAGTCAACGACATTCTGCTGCTCCAGCAACCGCCACGTCCCCAGCACGGTGGAAGATGTAGACCTCATCTTTGCCTGAAGGTTTTCCAGTTCGCGCGAAAGAATCACCAGGTCCTCCACCTCTCCCGCATCGAGAGGGTCTGCCCTTTCCTGCTGCCGCGCATGGAGGTGCCGCACGGCACGGGTGATTGTCTTGCGGAAGTCGTCCCGTGAGACACTGATGGCTTGCTCGTTGCCCACGGAGTCGTCACCCATGCCATCACCCATACACCTGCTCATCCCCGCGCCTTCCTCACCTACATTCCACACTGGCAAAGGCACGGTCGTCGGGGGCCCGTGGGCGCCCACGGTTATCGTCGATGCCGCGCTCGACACACCACATCCCATCTCAAAGAGAAACTATGACGCTAGAGCACACCCAGGCGCACATGGACGAGAGGGAGAAAGGGAGAAAGCTTGGTAGGCGAGCAGACAAATGCACAGAGTATGGAGTGCTGGGGGTGAGCCCAACTCATCCCGTAGTGGCAGAAAACCGTTTTGGTGGCTGTGGATGTTAGTCACAAGCGCGCAACGCTGCAAAAGCAAAAAAAAAACATCACAAATGTGACGGAGGGGCTTTCTATCCAGGAGGAAGCGGCCTCCACAGCGAATAACAAGAAAGGTCTTTTTACTGCGAAATGGTCCAGCGTAATGGTCAGCGCCGGGCTGCACCATGGCGGCGCTCTTCTATTTTTTTTTCGACGGCCCTCACCGAAAGATGGCATCCTGGATGCCCAGCACGTCCCCCGCCGAGTCGGTGTTGTCCCTGTCAGTGGAAGACTCTGGCACGTACGAGACACCGCACCACACCTCCAGCGGCTCTTGGCCTCGCAGGGGGTTCCCACGCGTGGCCGGGGGCGTGCCCCTCGGGCGAAGCGGTGCGGGGGTGAGGCAGTTGCGCAGATGCAGGTGCCTCGTGGGCTGCAGCGCCGCGAAGTGCCCTCTCAGCCGGTCGAGCACGTCGTAATGGCCCGTGCCGGGGTTGAAGATGTTCTGCTGGAACCGCACGGCGTCCTTGAACGTCTCGTAGCGGAGGAAGCTCACACGCGAGAGTGTCCGGTTGCGCCTGAACGCGCGGCGCAGCGTCCACGCCATCAAAATGTCCATCCTGTTTCGGCCCGCGTCGTTCTCAAAGTCCTTCACGGCCACGTACATCCTCCACAGCGACTGCATGAGCGTTGCCCCTCGAACGCGCTGCGCGACCTTGAAAAACTCCAACCAGATCTTCGACCCGACGGAGGAGTGCGGTGGAAAGTCGGACTCGAACAGCGCCACAGCCTGCACCAGGCGCAGCGGCGGGACATAGCGCGAGGAGGAAGCGTCGTCTCTCGCGTGGTTGTAGCTCTTTACCTGCGCAGGGTACACTGGCAGCGCGCTAAACGAGAGGCGCCCAGGACCACCGGAGCTGTACAGGTCCCACTCGTCCACGTACTCCGCCACACAGCGCGCCCGCTTCTCCGCTATCGGGAGGAACACAAACAGCTGCTCCAGCGTGAACATCAGCCGGCGCTGCTGGCCCGGCTTACACATGCCCAGCTCTTCGAGCAGGTGTGGCAGCAGCCACAACGGGATCCCGCGAGTCTTATACATGCGTGAGAACTTCCGCTCCTGAATTCGTTTGCGGTTCTCTGGCCGCATGTCGTCGTGCAGGCGTGCACCCGCATTTATGATGGCGTTGGTGCCACCACGCAGCGCATCGTAGAGGAACAAGGCCCTCTTTGGCATCGTGCTGAATATAAGGGACTGGAGGGGCACAAAGAACACACCGATCGTCAGACCAAACAACGAGGCGATAAGCACCTTCCCAATGACGGCGAGCCCTAGTAGCAGCGGAGAGGACGCGTAGTCGGTCGCCACCACGCGGATAGACTCGTTGGACTCCACCATCTCGTGCACGATCTGGGTGTAGTTCGGGGGCGTCCACATATTGTTCAGGGTGACAGGACTTGCTGCTGTGAACGTCTGCCGGCAGAGGTCTCGCAACGCGAGTTTCCACAGGTTGGCTGTTATGCCGCCGCCCCAGAAGGCGACGTGGACGTCAGCTAGGGCGCTCGCAGCCCCAACAAAATACACCACAACACAGGCCCCAGCAAAGATGAAAACTTCGCCCCTCAGCACCAGCGAAAGCACGTACTGGCGGGGAAGCATCCGAAGCAGCAGCAGGAAGCGTAGCGTGACAAAAAACACTGCGTAATCGTCCGGGCTGATCAGGCACATGTCGCGTTCTACAAGCAGCGTCAGCGCAATCGGCAGCGCGCAAGACCAGTACAGCAGCTGCAGGAGCTCAGCGAGTAGCAGCACCGTGTTGCCCACCAACAGCTCCTTGTCCAGCAGACCCTTTGGCATGCAGGCGCACGCCACCCACGAGCAACCGCAACGGTGAACAGCGAGCACGAGGCGCACAAAACCATCAATAAGGCCCACAAGCGTGAAAAACGTCTCCATCGAGAAGAAAAACCGATAATCATCCGCGCTGGCGTGCGTGGAGGGGCTAAAGAGAACCCCGAAAAGCAGACCAACCACCAGCACCCCGTGACCCACTCGACGAAAGAAAAAGCCGCGAGTCCCAAACCTCGCCAGCGCCATGGGGTCCTCCAGCAGGCGGATGGCGTCCATCATGAGACATTGGGAGTTCAGCAGATTGGCGTTTGTCCATCGCAAGTGGGTCAGCGCCGTCGCCACGCAGCAAGCAGGTAGTACCCAGTAGTCCAGCAGAGAGAGGTAGATGTACGCGTCCTCCTTAAAGTAGTACGCAAACAGCTGCCGCGCATCCTCTTCGTTCGGGTACTGCTCGTTGCGCCGCAGATTCGAAGCCAGGCGCTTCGGAAGCGGCCACGCTGTCGTCTCATTGTTGGCAACGGGGTCATAGTAGTGCACCAAATACACCTGAGCCCGAAGCAGCTCCACAACGTACGCTACACACCCCGTGACGATTACAGGAAACAGCACACTGATGCTGGACATAAAGAAGGTGCGTTTCATGCGTGTGAAGCGGAGCAGCCGGGGGAAGAACAGCACACACAGCTGCCCCAGGCGTAAGAGTGACACGAAGCGAAGGCAGAAGAAACGCCGCAGCTGTGCGTGGGAGCCGTACTGCAGCCCTAATGCCACAGCAAGGGTGCCCACACTCAACAGCGTCAGGCCAGCGGAGGCGTCTCTCGGGATGAGCACCAGCGACGCAGCCATGCTCGTCGCGTGGACGACGATCGTAGCAACTGCCGCGGTGTCTTGCAGCTCCGAGGAAGAATCCACGACCCACAGAAGGGCGATGGAGGTAAAGGTCAGTGCAGCGTGCGCGTAGTGCAACAGCGGTTGGCGCAGCGCACGACTCACATGAAGCAGCGTCTCGTGCTTCGCCACCGACGGGTTGTGATACATCTCGTTCTCCTCGAACGACGCGAACCGCGCCTTGGAGATGATGCTCTTTTCAAAGTGCTCCGCGTCCCGGTCTTCACCTTCGTGTGCAACGGGCGTTAGATGGCTGATACGCGGGCCGAAGTATGACGCCCACAGCGGGGGCGCTTCGTCCTTGGAGCCCGTTTGCAGCCTGCGCCTGGTGTCGTAGACCCACATGCGCAGCTTCGNATGGTCCTCGCGGAGATGTCGCAGTGAAGCCGCCAGTGTGAGAACCACAATGGGCCCTCCACATAGCTCTTGATGTACTCCACAACGTCGTGGTGCAGGCTCTGCACCACAAGACGGATGAAGCGTCCAATGAAACTCGAGAGATGCAGGAGCGGATGTAGCACAATGGTGACAGCGATGGGTATAAACACCAACTGAAACACAACAATGATAAGGCACGCGACAGGGGCCTCGGAGGCGGCGTCGATATGCGTGGGGGTCCACGCAGGTAGCACCATCTCTCGCACACTCGTGGAAAGGCAGTCCACACCGCTACTGCAGATTTCATCCCGTCCATACTCAACGTGAAACTGCCACATGGCAACAAAGCAGATCATCCACATGGTGAAGAACGATAACAAGAGGTAAGCAAACCCGTATCGCGTCATCCCCGGCACTTGGAATACGCTTGACCAACCCTCACAGAAGCGGAGGAACCGCAGGACGGCAAACGGTATCATAAAGGGAACGAAGCCAACGACCACACAGAAGAGGCGGATGAGGAGACGGATGTAATGCTTGAAATAAAACTCTATCCGTAGGTAATAGAATGAGAACATCAGCTCCAGCGTGAAGATGGCGCTGAACCCAACTTCCATCCCGTAATTGTTCGGCTTTGCCGCAGCCATGACGAGCACAACAATGACCAACAGCGTCATCTCCCGCCTGCTCACGGGACCCGTCCACTGCCGCCGCAGGAGTCTCTCTGCAAACGTCAGCCGCTCCCGCGCCCCCAGCGCGGCCTCTATGATGCCAATGTCGTACATGAGACGCGACTCGGGGTGCTCGTTGCGGCAGTCCCACTTGCCCCACTCAGCAGTGATGGGCGCCGCAAACATCGACACAGATGTCTTGCTTAGGTTACCCAGGTCCATCTCACCCGCAACAACGCTGTCCTGCACCCTCCGCACAAATCGGTGAACCGTGTTGTCGGCCTTGTGGTCGTAATGCGACGCATCGATGGCCTCCTTGGCCGCGCGCACATCCGACTCCCACAGCAGGCCATCTAGCTGTTTTTCCAGAGCCATCATGTTTTTGGCACGGTGCGCCTCATTCAGAAGCTCCATTTTGCGCGTGTCGCGGAACCGATTCCGGTTCTTCCGAAGCTTTGTTTCATCACTGATGTCGTAGTGCTTGCGAATCGCGTCGTGCACCCCAAGAATCACCGCCGCCCACGTCCAGAACACAAGAGCTAAGTTCGCAATAGCAACCTCAGCAACGGGCGTCTGCTGCCGTAGCAGCACTTTGTCCCCCTCCAGATGGACGTGCTCCGACATGCGCAGACAAGCGGGCAGCTGCGGCGCAAAAGAAGCGCCCGCGTCAGGGTACGGCTCACCAGGATTTAGTAGCCGATCAATGCGGTACTGCGGGGATAGTGTACTCCACACGGCAAGGAAGACGGAACCCCAGTTTCCCGTACTACTCAGAAGGGCGTTGTTCAGCGCAAGGCTGCGTACAGCAGCCCCAACACCAGCGAGGCCCAGCGGCGCCAGCAATACGAAATGGAACACAGCCTGCTCGATTGCGCGGCAGTAGGTGCGGGTACCCGAATGTGAGGGGAAAAACTCGTGCACGACGAAGGGGAACTTCAGTGCCAGAAGCGTTGTAATGCATACACCGCTGCGCTGCCGTGCACAGGCACACGCAAGCGCCGTGACCGCGATGGCACCATCGACCAATCGCCAGAGTCGCAAAGGCATGACCACCAGCAGCATGAGCAGCACCACGCAGACAGTCACATCCACTGCCTCACTGATACGGGCATTCGACGGATGGGGTAGAAGCCCAATAAAAAGCAGCATGAACACGCCCAGCAGGACTTGCACAAGGAGGAGCCATTTCAGTAGCCGCAGCTGCAGCCGCCGCAGGCGTTTATACCGGCTCTCCCGCCGAAGGGCAGGCGCCCGCTCACGCTTTCTACGGAACACAATCTCACAAAATGCGGCACAAAAGTTCTCTCGCCATAGCAACTGCGTCACGGCGTGCATCACACCATGAATCTGCTCCCCTACCAAAAACTGCGTTCCCTCAGACACTAGCAGCTTGACACGCTGAGAGAAGTAGCAGCACTCAATTCCGTTGCGGATCACGTCAGTCGCCTGTTGGAGTCGGCGGCGCACAAATGCTCTCCATGCTCGCTGGATCAGCAACGCGCTCCTGTGGATCATCCTGTACCGCCGCCGTGCGATGAAGCCCCGTGCGTGCGCCTGAATGCACGTCACGGCGTTGGGTACGGTGTCCAACGCCTCCCGTGACCACTCATTGATCCGCAACGCACCCAACTTTCGCCGCCTGTACGCGCAGTATGCCTCCCAGATCGTAGTTGCCGCAGCAATGCGCCTCACGTCGGTCGGCACACCACCCTTACAGCCGCTGGTCATCTCGGGCGGCCTTCCGCCAAAAGGACCATTACCAACAACAGCAACAGCCATACCCTCTTCCCTCATGGCCGTCAGAGGCGGCAGCAGCGCAACAGCAATCCGCTGCTTTTCCTCAGCCACTCTCTCGGCCGCCAGACGCTCCCATTCCATCTCCTTTGCTCGGACCAACTCCCTAATGGCCAGCGCAGCAATAACTCCCCTTTCCTTGTGTTCACACAGCCACAGTCGACGCCGCCTCTCTTCCTCCTTGTCAAACACGCGGGAGCGCCTCGCCATGTGACGCAGCAGCAGTTCATGATGCCTAGCGCAGGCGCGCAGTAGTCTTCGCCGGTGCTTCTTCTCAGCTGCACCCGTCCTGCGACGCTCGTCATCTTCAGCACGCATCGTCTGTCGTCGCGCGGCGGCGTAAAGCTCCTTCGCCTCCCGAGCACCGCTGCTCAACAGCACCTGCAGAAAGCGGCCACTGTATCTTCCCGCTCTAAACGCCACATCGGCTACCGTCTCGCCTCTTTTGTTGATCGTGTTGAGGAGGGGCAAAGACACCTCTTGGTTCGTCAGCCACCTCACAAACTCAAGGAGCTGCTCTTCTGAAATTCGTTTATTCCTCATCAAGCAGTGCAGAAACGTGTCTCCATGGTGATCCGCCACCGGACTCATCCCATACGCGGCGATGAGGAGTAAAAGAGAGGTGAGCGCGGTAGCGGACTGAGCACACGTGTGTAGCGCCGTCTGGCCGTTGGCGTCGAGACACAGGCGGGCCCTAGTTGCACACCCCAAGAGCACCATAAGGCACTCTTCGGAATCTTGAGCAGCCGCCATGTGCAGAGCGCTTCTATCCGCATCGTCCTTGCTGACAGCATCTATGTTCGCCCCCTCGTTGAGGGCCCTCTGGACATCCGCTACGCTCATCTGTCGGATGGACCACAGAAGCAACCGTGTGGGTTCGTCCAGGCTCTCCACCTGCGCTCCGTCGCGCACGTCGGTCATCTCCACAAAGTTACCTACATCCATGCATGGAGCGCTACAATCCAACAAAGGGGAAACAGGGTAGTGGCTCATCAAAGGGGTTTTCAAACGGAGCGTAGGTTGGCGTATAGCACACATGCATACATTGGTGTCACACACACTCACACACAATCTCAGGGGAGAGCTGAGGTCTCGCCTCGCACACACCTAAAATAACACGGATCTGGACGCATCCAGTCACAATGTGTCCAGTCAAAAACTTCACGTATCACTACACCTCACCGTGTCGTGCTCCCCCACACAATCAAAAAGCCGCAGCAAAGGGTGAATTGAGCAGTTCCGTCGCTCACCAGTTGGGAGAAGTTTGACGTGATGCCGTGCGTCAAAGGCATCGTAGAAGGTTGTAAACGCATGATAGCATTGTGTACAACACACGACCAGGAATTTTTGCATTGCCTTGTCTGATATAGAGAGCTCAGGGTCCAAATGCAGTTTGAATGCTCGGAGAGTTTGCCGCATCTTTCCATAGCACTCACTCGCTTGGCGCAGCAGCGCCCGATTGTTGGCTGCCTGAGATGTTTTATGAAGGTTCCTTGCTCCAGTTATAAGCGGCTCGTTGTGCACAACTATCTTGGCACAGTCTACCACGGATCTGAGGTACTCGTGCTGTGTCTCCGCCGTGACCTCAGCTGTCTTCACAGAGTCCACAAGAGTATTAAGAATAGGTCCGAATATTTGACCCTGTAACACACTTGCGACGGCCATAAACTCTGCTATGGCTTCCTTCAACCCGTGCTTTTCGGCGATCTCGTTTGTTAGTTGCCGTTGTTGCTGCTGCTGCTCGTGCTCCTCTTGCTCAGAGGTGTCATTACCCCAACTTTCACATCCGTATTGTAATAGTCTCCCACGTGATCGTCCGCAAAACTCTACGGTAGCCTCAAAGGCATCTACATCTTCCAGCAAAGCGTCGCGAAGAGCAACGGTGGCGTTTCGCGCTCGCCCCAATGCCTCCCTTCTTGACTGGGCAAATAGAAACCTTTCCTTGAAGCCATGAGGCAGTCGGTCTGCATTAGCATCGATGAAAGACACGTCCTCGGTAAGGCCTACTTCCTGTTTTCTTGGCTTTGCGGTCACCCAACTGAACCAGGACGACTCTCGAGGCTTTAATGAGTCAAGAAAGCCACATTCGCTTAATTGCCTCCGCCGCGCAAGTTCCTCTACCAAGTTGAAAAAGTTAACGACACTCTTTTCGTCAGATTCATACAGGAAGTAGAGCAAAGGGAGGTATGCGCAAACGGCTTCTGCATGCGTCTCCACAAAGTCCAACATGCTTCGGGCCAGATGGATCGAAGCATCCCTGCTAGCTGGCACCAAGAGGTGCGGAAAGCTGGCACGCAGTGCATTAATAAGAATCGACAACTGCCTCGGTGACCGCTGGAAGGCGTACTTTTTGTGAGGAAACGTAGAGACAAAGCGTAGCCACGCACCGTGCTCAGAGACTATGTCTCCTGTGACGCTTCGCCGTGAAGTGTGACCATTCCACGACACCTGCATGCAACAAGTGGAGCCCGAAAGCATTACCTCCGCGCTGGAAGGAGTTGTCTGCGGCGCCGGGTCCCAGAAGCAGCGAAGTGCCTCGAACGGGGCAAGCAGCATCGACGGTCGCAGTCGTGCTGCGATGGACTCTGCGACCGTCACCGCCGGCTGGCTAGGCGCGAGTACATCCGTGTCCGCAGCGAGCTGGTGTAGCTCCGCCGGAGACCAACCGCCGTAGACAACTGTTCGACTATCAAAATCAAATGTCACACATGTCATGTGGGTTATCGCCCTCCTTTGCTGGTGATGAAGGCTATGAGGAAACCGGAAAGAAAGATCTATACGGGACAAAATGCAGCACCACTGAATATACAGCAACTACTTAGAATTAACGGACCACATACTCGAATTGATGGCATTCACACCATCGTTTTTTTTTTCTCTCCTTTCCTCAGTCTCTCTCTCTCCCCCTCCCCGTCTTCATCTTCCTCTCTTACTGCCTGTCTCTTGACATCATTTCCCCACACTGTCACTCACGCCCTTCAAGGAGGCAGTAAGAGCTAGAGCGAGCGTACACACCTGTAGAACCGCCTAATGTGACGACCTGGCCGGGGCAAAAGACACCGGACGTGGGGCAGTATCTTCCCACACAGCGGTGCAGCACCGAGGGCGCAAAGAGGACTTGGGAATTCCCGAGCGTTACGTTGACCTCAGGGCGCACAATGGCGTTCATACCCCCATGTGAGAAGTGAAGCGCAGCAGCAGATGATGCGACAATGTTCCTTCGAGCCTCACGAGCAACAGTGATGTCCTTCGTGACATGTGTTATCGAGAGCTTTCGCTGTAATCCGATAAGAAGTCCCCCAGCAGTCTCAGAATCAAGCTCCGCATCATCTACCACAAGCTGAATGGCATCCCCAGACTTTAGTTCAACACCCTTCGGGGCCGTGAACTGAAGCTGCCCACTCTCAGGATGACCGATAAAAGAGACAGGAATACAAACATCGTTGTGCTGAATGCCCAGAAACACCTTTGACTGCTTTCTTCGCAACTCAGGTAAGCAGTAGATGTCTTTGATCACGTCTGTGGCCTTCCTGTTGTCCAGGGTGATGACACTGAACACACCGTCCGTGCAACTCACCGATGTGGCATTCACTGCCCCCATGCTGATGGAGGGCACAACATTCACGTGGTGCCCCTTAATCATCGCACTGCGGAGAACCACACCAGCAGCGCTCCCAGTGTAGACCCGATCATTAATAAAGAACATGGAATCACCTATATCATCCGATGTGGAGTCGTCACTATCGGCTCCATTGCTACTGTTTTGTTGGCTTGGGCTACTGGGCTTCTGAGTTGGCGGGTAAACACCACCAATGACCGGAATCTCACCGAGCCGTTCGCCGAGGATTTGGAGGTGCCCTGAGAGCACGCGCTCATACTGCAGAGTCAATTTGGTGTCCAGCATTGTAACGCACAAGGCTGGCGGTGGCCTGCTGGCATCGCTAAGATCATCCGCCTCGGGGACGGCGTCAAACGTAAAGACGTCGCTTTGAAGGTCGGGGATGCAACCGAGCATTAGTTGGATGTAGCCACCGCCTGGCCGCTGGTGTCGCACGGCTCCTCCCAACATGTGAAGCTGCTGCGGCTTCACCGTTGACTGCGTGACGCCGTTAACTTTGCACAGGTTATACCAAACCACTTCAGGGGCGTCGATCATCGCCGCGTAGTCGAGCGATACACTCATAAAGCAGAAGTTCGGCGGACGTGGTAGCGCTGCTGCCGCCACGTCGAAGGCTTCAGCTGCAGCAATTCGTGGACGGTGGTCGGCGCTAGCGGCTGACGCAAACACGACAGATCTCGAGTCCACTGCCAGCTCCCTCTTGCGCTGCTCCTGTTCATCGGCGGCGAGCACCTCTTTGATTGTCTCTGGGGTCTCCACAGCGTCGCCAAAGAAACGGCAGGGAAACGACATCACACAGCGGTGCACGGGGCTCCAGCCAACGGCAAAGCGTCGCATGATTTGCGATGGCTTTGTATTGTATCGTCTTATGCCCAATAATCTAGAGGAATTACCAAAAAAAGAAAAGGAGAAGGAAGGAAAAGGAAAGAGAATAGCACGGCGTCTTGGGTGCGATAGATGCACACTTCGCAGAGGTCCTTCTCTGTCCCCAAGGGTGCATTGTGAGACTGTTTTCTTTTTTTTTTTTNGGCTTCGCGTGTGTCTTCACGCCCTCCTCCCCCTCCTCCTCTGTTTTCTGGAGAGAGAGAGAGATAGAGGGAGAGGGGAGACGAAAGCAACTCTACATTTGTGCAAAGTGTGCACATGCGCACGTAACCTCAGCGAAATGCCACCTGCTTCGTTACATCGCGGACGAACTTGGTGCCCTCTATCACTGTGTTGTAGCCGCGCCTGGGCTGCGCGGACTGCTTGGCAGCCTCCACCACATTAGGAGCTTTGCTCGTCAGCAGAAGCGTGTTGGGCGCCCGCATCACGGCATCACTGACACTAATTTCATTGAGGTATTGCTTGAGTAGCACCTGCAGCTTTTTGTTCTCCTCCTCGAGGTGATACTTCTCCTGTGAGATGGCGGCGCTGTCGAGCACCACCTTGTTGTGCTTGGTCCAGAAGCACTCCAGCAGGCGCCACTCCTCAGAGAAGGCCGCGCCGTCGGGCGCCGCTGCCTCGTCGCGCGACTCCGCCACGTTGCCATTGGTGATGAGTCGCTTTACCTCCTCCTCGATCTCGCTTGTCGCAATGTTCGACTCGAATGACAGCACCTGCTCACGTTCCGTCTCGAGCGGTTTGCTTAGCTCCACTAAACGCAGGATTTTTTCAGCCCGACTCTCCACGTTTCGGAGGTGATCCTCACATTCCTTGGCATTCTTGATGAATTTGGCAAGGCGAGACGCCTCCTTGCTCCTCCAGTTCTGCATCTTGTTCTTGAGCGCCTTCAGGTGCCGAATGGTGGCGTCGCGCTCCTGCTGGATGGCGGAGTTCTTCTTCTCCCACTCCTTTGCGTTTCGCGCCAGATTTGTCCGCCACGAGGTCACGTTTTCCTGCAGCTTCTCAATACGTTTCAACTGTGAGGCAATACGCTCCGTGGTCTCCGCGTCCTCTTTGGACTTGTCCATATAATCCTTCATGTTGACCTGTGCTGTCGTCATGAACTCCTTGTATCGCGCATCCAGCTCGGCTCGAATAAACTCACTCGCTCGTATGAGGTCGTTCTGCATCTGCTTCCGTTCCTCTTCCATTTTCTCTAGCGCCGTGTCATGTGCCTCTGATGTGTTTTCCTGCAGCTCCTTCTCCAGTTGTTCCGCCTCCGTCGCCATGTTCTCCAGGATGAGCTTGAGATCCGCCACCTCGTGCTCGTGCTTGCGCGTCAACTCCATCATCTCCTTCTCGTAGTCGCCCTTCATCTCGAGGAGGTCCGCCTCGAACTCCGTCTCGAGATCCGCCATGCGCTTACTCTGCATCTGAGTGAGCCCGTCGACTGCCTCCATGTGTGACTGGAAAGCGAGGCGATGCTGCTCCTCCCCCTCTTCGAGGTCAGTGAAGAGCATCTCAATCACGGCATTCTTTCGGTCAATGGCCGTCTCGAAGGCGCGTCGCACAATCTCGATCTCGGTGACAAGCTCCTTGCGTTTGCACTCACGCAGAAACACCAACCAGCGTGCCTCAACAGCGCTGGTGGCCTGCAGCGTCATGGCCTCTTCCTCCGACTTTAGCTCTTGTAGGCGGGCAATAAGCATCGCCTCTTGCCGTCGACGCTGCTCTGCCTCCTCGACGCGGGCTCGCTCGAGGGCGATGGGATCGAGCGTTTTCCTGGCACGCCTCTTGCCTTTCCTCTCCGCCGGCATGATCTTGGCCTGCTTTCCCCTTCTTGCTTATTTGCCTAACGGACGGAAACACTGCATACGAAAGAGAGAGAATTTTGGAACAGAAAAGAAAGGAAAGAGGAATCAGGAGTGAGTGTGTAGTCACCGGCACATTAGCCGTCAGTGGACCACAGCAGCACGGGCCCATATGCTTGACAACAGGAGGAAGAGGAGAATTGTGCAAGTGCGTGTGTGCGCGTATAGTGGCGCAGAAGGAGAAGACTATACAAGATCCGAGTCGCTTCGCTTCATTACGAGGCTCCAATTAATCGGCTGCCTCTGAAACAGAAACGATATATTTGAGCACAGGCCTCGGTTAAAAGGATTGCCCTTTCGAGAGCTGAGGTAGGTGATGCGGTGGCGGCTGGAGAACTCCCATGTCGTCAGGTTGCCCACTAGTAAAACGCAGTGAACAACCCACAGAGCGAAGATCAAGAAGGCCATAAAGCCATTCACCACAATCAGTATGAATGGAATGAAGTTCCGGAGCATTGCGGCGTCCATTGTCGCATGACCGCGAAACTTGAAACATTTCATGACGTTTGGAAACAGATAAAGCAAGTAAATAAACGTAATAGTGAGCAGCAGGTAGAAACGAAGGTGGTTCGCCTCACCCACGCAGCCCCCGATCCAGAAGCAATGATGATCATATTTTCGCACGCATCTCTCACACTTTTCACAATGCTTGGCCCGAAGCGGCTGCCACAGGCGACACACCCGACACCATCGAAGGATAGATTTTTCCTCTTCCGACCTCGGTTCCTCCGTGTCCGATACAAATCCAGGGTTAGGGGCCCAATTCCACACCATCGCAGCATTATAGCACAGAGCCAAAAACAGAAGAAGGCCCATATTGAGTTGTTCCATTGGCACATAATAGAGAAGTACACCCAGTGTGAAAATCTGCGCCCCAGCGACAAAGGACGCCGCACCCAAAGAGGCGGACTTGGACGCCGCAGCCTCCCTGGAGGACGCATTTCTCCTCCATCCATTCCCCTGTGCAAAGATGGAAGCCCTCTGCCCCCACGGCGGCCACGATGCCATCACTACACTACTGGCAGTCAGAAAAATAAGGCGCAGTGCATTATAACGTCATGCACATTGACGCAACAGATTGTGTGTGAAAGGGAATGCATATAATATTTGAACTGAACCAACAAAACAGCAACTTTCCGTTCGCACGACGGTTTTCTCATCAGCCCGATGGAACCACTCGCCATGTGACTAGGGTGGACTTTCGACTACAAGCAGCGAGAATGGTTGCACCTGGGTCAAGCGCTAAGGACTCGATGCCGTCTTCAATGCTACTGTGAGTGACATCGCAGATCCACTGCATATTACTCTCTTTCAACACTCGCACCGTCGTTCCTTGCGCAACAAAGATCACTCCTCCAACAGAAAGAAGAGCCGTGGCAGGTTCTTTACCGAGATCATACGAGGCCACAAAAGAGCCGTTGAGGGAGTAAAGCCGAACGGCATACGTCTTCTTTAGAGAATGACCAGCCAAAATAATGTCACCCTCCTTTGCATTCACCGCAATGAGACTGTAGTGCCACACTTCACCACCACACCACTGCTTCCCGATGTTCTCAGTCAAGAGAGAGTCTGGGTACTTTGCTGAGAGCTTCGGGTAGGAAATAGTCCGAATCAGAATGTGACGCTCAATATCCCACACTCCTACGATATAATCCTCTGCCGATGATACCAAAATGCCCCACTCATGGGAAACAAAAAGTGTAGTCACGGGCGCTGTGTGCCCATATAGCACACAAAGACGCCGCCGAACGGCACTTCGAGTTCGTGTGGTCCTCACTTCACCGCGCAGAATCCTTTCAGCCGTATCCGTTAAGTCTGCTCGTTGGCCATTTTCATCCTCTAATGGTAGCTCAACTTCGTTCAATTCTTCATTGGTAATCTTCATGAGATGGATAGCACCAGAGTCCATTCCAACATAAACAATAGGCGGGTCGACAGCCAAGGTGGTGACTCTCCCATAGCTCATGTGAAAGGTGCATATATCGCGTGACACATCCTTTCCATCGACAAGGACGATGCCGTTCCCGCGAATGCAGAGGCAATCCTTTAATTGGTCATTGGTCACTGTAAAAGGAAAACAGCCCTTTGGCAGTACCACAGGACGTGCCTGTGTCAAAGGAAACTTCCACTCACTCCCTTCCTCTGCGCCACGGGCGGCTGTGGCGGATCTCGAGCGAGCGAACACCACCACTGTTCCATCAACTCTGTGACTGCTCATTGGTACGAGCTGTTCAGGGTGAAGCACAACACAAAACCTCCAACTGGAGGCTTCATAACGAAGCGTTGGACATGGACTCTGAAAGAACGGTGGATCCGTTGGTTTTCCACGTGGTTTGTGAGGGTGTGAAAATAACTGCGAAGGTGTTTGACCAAAACAGTCAATTTGTGTTTCATGGCTGGATTTGAGAACAGGGTCTGTGATAGCCAAAAGGTCTATCGATCTTTCATATGTCAGTGGGTGGAACACGTTTACTGCCGCAATAGCTTCCTTACCCCGCTGCTTATAACCAAAAGTTAAGTCAATCCAAGAATGCAGATTCTCAGACGTATATCGACTCTCCAGCGCCTGCCGAAGCATTTGCGTCAATTCGCGCGGTGCAGAGGCCCATGGAGGTAACTGCACATCGTTCACAATATCTCCATCTTGTTTGGTTCCAAATGGTATATGATTGAAGTTGACAAACATATCCGGCAAGCAGTAAAACTCTGGCAACATCTCCTTAACGTCTTTTCCTGTTGATATCGTGTATGCCGTAGCCATAGAGTCAAACACGCGATCAGCATCGTCCAGTTTAGAGTTCATATTCACAAAGTAGTCCGAAAAAGGCTGCACACGAACAAGGAAGTGAAGAGCACCTCCAAGAGGTGAGTAGTGAGACCCGTAGTGATGAGGAATCAAGTCAATCGACATTGTCTGCCCTGTCCCCCCCAACGCCGCGATCTCCATGTACTTCGCAATAGCCTTCTGCTCGCGATCTGGAGTCTGGGCCCCCATTGGTTTGCTGAAGCGACGAAAGGAGGCGGCATTTGTCAAATCCAGTGTATCAGACAAGTAGTCCGCAACAACATGAGGGAACACTGGATATTGACGCAAGTCTCCGTATGAGCGACCTGCTGCAAAGTTCAGGTACATCAAATAGTGGAAATTCGTGATGCGTCCCTCACACCACCAGTTACGCCACATCCTCAAGTTGCTCTCTGTCATTACTAATGTCTTGTCAAGGTACGGCCGTGTCACCGCAATGATGGCGGCAGAAACACGTCTTCGCATCTCTTCGGTTTCAAAGGCCAGAAATAGGGTTTCGCCGGTTGAGAGCAGCAGTTCCAGTGCACAAGGCTGAAGTAAATTTCGGCGTTTCCAAATTGCACGTACAGAAGAGACATCTACCACTCGGCGAACGCAAGGGATCTCACACTTGCACCTGAAGGTCTTTGGAAACCGACTTATCGGATTGTGAACTTCTACTTTTGTAGAAGTTCCACCTCCGTGAAGGTCGAAAGATGTTGCTGAGGGTTCCTTCCCCAATTGTGTCAATCCGTGCTGGAACCGTTCAACGACGTACGATATATGTTTTGACGCAATGCACAACACGATGGGCACACGATCCATTGGAAGTACTAGTTTGCACCCCACGGTGAAGGCATAGGTGCCAGAGACACAAGTTGCCTGCAGCTGTGGGAGAGCCGTTACAGAATATAACTTCAGTAACCTCACATCATCTGTAGGTGCCATATCTTTTTTGTAGACAGCCCGCAACAACTGATCCGTGCTCCAAGCGTCGGTGATTTTCACGTCGTGAATGAAGCGTCGAAGGCGCACGTGTTGCCATTCCGTCCCCAGAAAACGATCCAACTCCCATCGGTTCAGGGGCACCGGTGTTCGCGCGTAGAGGTTGATGCACTGGCCCCACCACGGTAATAACGAAAAACGATAAGCAGCGTGGGAAGCTAGGATTGCGCAGCCGTCTTCCTCAACGAACTTCTTGTAGAGTGTCACTTTTTTCCACAGGGAGGCCTGGAACTGGTGCATGTCTGCGCTGATCTGACCACGACGCTGAACAGCTCGCCTGGGTTCAGCGAACAACAAGGGCGGTGGGGATTGAGCACTGCAACGTCTCAGCATCGAAAATGCAGAGGCGCGAGCTGTCACCAAAAACCTTTCCAATGTGGCCACACCATTGCGCGATAGTTCAATGTCCCACAAAGGGTTACTTAATGTGGCGGAACGTGCAGCGTCTGGGACTCCACTGTCTATCTTTAGTGCTGCATCCAGTTCTGCCAGGGATGAGGTTGAAGCACCACCCTTCACAAGCGACCAGACGGCAGCGTGGTAGCGCACGAACTGACACACAGACAATGCCATGCTGAATCGGTGTTGATTCCCCTGCAAGGATGGATGAAGAAAACTTGAGGCTGCACGCAACACAATCAACCATGGTGCCGATTCCTTCAGCGCCTCCCCAGGTGCGCGCTTTAGAAGTTCTGACATCACAGTGTTGGATGACGAGCGCAACAGTCTCCAGTCAGCGCCACCTGGTGGCTGTGTAAGAGCTCCCTGTTTCGCCAAGGCAGGTGTGTTGAAACTGCATTCGGCATTGCCACCGTAGACAAGGTATAGTAGTGTCAATTCTCTCACAACATCGTCGTCATTCTGCTCCGCGTTGTAAAGCAGAGAGGCGGCTACTCTCCATTGCAATAGCAACAACTCCTCGCTTAGACGCTTCACCCTCTTTCTGGGAAGCGTGCCTGATTGTCCAGCCTGTAGCTCAAACAGCAGCTTTCGGGCGCACTCAAAGAGAAGCAAGGCGATACGCACCACTGTATGGCGGTCACCAAGACACAGCGGCTTGCCAAAACTCGAAAAGTACACACCCGCAAGAGTTTGACTCACCCAGGTGTCACCTTGATCATCCTCCTTCTTCTTAACCATCGATTCGTCAGAGCTCCTGCAGTTGCTTTCGCACCAATCCAACAAAATTACAGCCGTTGCGGCTATTTGGAGAAACGACACATAATCGTCCATGAAGGATCCTGAGCACCCTTTGCCTGCCAGTATGGAAAACTTATCCAAAGATGACACAACAAATCGGCTGACCAATACATTGACTTTGTTGTCGCTCAATTCAAGTCGGCGCCTCGGTTCGATATCATTTAGACATGAAACGGCCAGAAAAATTGTCAAGACCACATCACGCAACGCACGCCCGCAGTTTACGCCTTCTGTACTCCATGAAACTTCAATCATGTACACAGCGACACTAGTCAGTGACTCTACCAAAAGGCCAGTTACAGTGACCTCGTTCTTCGCAAGAATAAGAAGAACACCAAGCAGATAGCTTACTATGGACGCGAATCCCTTCTCGCTGAAATCAGTGGGGTAGACTAGGTCACGTATCAGCGGTCCCTTTTCTTTGGCAACGTTACACAGAAGTACCACAACCCGCATCTGATAATCACATGGTATGTGCTGAAGTAGTGCGACCAGAAACACCAACAGCGTTCGCGCCCCTTTTGTGTCACCCCGCCTTGCGCTCTGCTCCACCACACAGACAACGGTGCACAGCTCCGCTTCCGAAATACAAAGTGTGTCCGGAAAAAGCGCCTTCCGGGCCAAGTACTCGTCCACCATAGTGTCCAGCTGCTCCTTCGATATCAAAGCCCACGAGAGGAGGGAGAGCGCATTGCACCGCACTACTTCCTTGGAGCACTTTAACAGAGTCACAATATCTGAGACGAGAAATTCATCATCCAGACTCCCTGGATTTATTACGGACATCGATTGTCTCACAGCACTCAGAAGCCCAAGCGCCCAATCGACCACACTTGATGCAAGGGCATCCTCACCGACAACCAGGCAAATCGCAGCTTGCACCATACGTCGCATGTGCAAAGGAGTTCTACATAGTGTGGCCAAAAAAACTGTCGCAGATGAAATAAGGGAAACGTCCCAGTCACCATTTGTATCCCCCGCAAAATGCATAAGAAGGTGTACAAGAAACTCTTCCAGGGCGTAAGAGTGATCAGCTCCATACTGAGAATCGACACCGTTTTGAAGGATTCGACTGTTAAACGCACCGTATTGATCATCCACAACGTACTCCTGCAACTTGTGTAGCACAGCCTGAAATCCACCAGAGTTCTGCGACCATAATGTAAAATCAAGGAGAAGCGGCAAGAGATCTGTTCGCACAATCATCCGATTCCCCACAGCTCTACAAAGAGAAACTGCAGTCTTTTTTGATATCACAACACGGCTGTGAAGCATTGCTTTTAGAAGAACAACAAGATGTCGGCCCCCATGCAATGGCGTACAACATAGTAAGTTATCTGTAGAATGCCACAGAATGACATCACCAACGCATTTCCATGCCTCTTCGAACGCCTCTGAGTAGGTAGGCTGTAGCGAAACCAGCCAGGCAAAGAATGGAATACCACCAACAGCATCCAGAACAGAATACACAGGAGAAACAGAGTGAAACCGTGGTCCATTCACCCTTGCCCAAATGCTTCCTAATATGCGTATCTCATTTTCATCATTGGACAGCATTAAAGAAACAGGCATTACCAACTTGTTCTTGGCCACACGCCCCGGTGACGGATTTAACGATGCCGAATCAGGTTCATGTCGCTCCAACGTGTCTCCAGTTATTCCCCGGCGCTCCGCATTTGCTTCCAAATAAAGCCCTCCGTTGCGCACACCAACAACAATAGGAAATCTCTCCCTGTTGTAATACCTGCTAAACGGCATTACAGCACCCGAAAACATTACCTGGTCCTCAGCGCCACTGATCCCGCGGCGCCTCCACATTGCCGACAGCAAAACTATTTCATCCGTCAGAACACTTTCCTCCTGCTGCACCATGTTTGCCAAAGCGGGGTACAAACCGACAACGAAGCTCTTATCCATGAAGGAGAGGGAAAGAAGACTGTCACTCCCCATCACGAAAAGACATGATGCTTCCACCCTTGATAGAGGGCCTCCAAACATTCCGAGCGCCCCAAAGAGAAGTGGTACCGGTTGATTACCAGCAGGTACACTAGCTGTGCCAAGTGAAACCATATTTGCTTCGCGAAATAGATGTTCAGTTTTCTCCAGCATGCCAAGAGATAACTCCACGCACACGGTTACCTCGGTTGAAGGAGCACACACAGTGTTTGCTGCAGTAAATAATGAAAGGCGGACCTCCAACCGTAATTTTGAGCGAAAAGACGAGGTACATTGATGGCATTCCATTACCGACATAGAAACCATACACCACTGACGGGTTGGCACACGGATGCGAGGCACAGGAACCTCGTTCGAACGCAACTGCTGTTTCACCTTTTTAACCACTTTTAGGCTCAAAGTACCCTCTGGGGAGAGCCACAGCAACAGGGAAATTCTGTTTTGGTCAAGAAAGAGTGATACCAAAAAGAATCCCACCCTTTGAACTGATAGAGAAGCATCAGATTCAATGAAGAACCAAAGAGCTACCGAGACGCATCGTTCAGCCTTCGGTATTGTCAATTGAATCGGTATATCCACTCCACCATAGATGCCCAACTCCCTCTTGACGCGACTCACTGCAGCTGTGTAGAATCTCGTTATCGTCGGGAATCCGACAGATATTCCAACAAAGGACATGGGCTGCGTACTGGGCAGCGATTCTTGCAGAAGGGTACGCCACACAGAGAGCAGGGTCTTGGTGGCCTCATTATCGTATTCCACAAAATCCACATCACGGCTTCGTAAACACATTGTCAATAAATGGAGCATTGTATCAAGACTGATACCACACGTTCCTAATTTTCTCGTTACCGCAACGAGTCGTTCAAAACATTTTGGCCTGTACAATTCATTTTCGGCAATTGCCACAGCGAATAACCTAGTCAAAAACTCAAAAGTCTTCCCTTCCACCAGTGTGTACACATTCTCCAAACAGTTGAAGAAAATATCAAGTAAAAGTTCCACTATTGAAGAGCTTAATAAAGCACTCTCTGCTGTTTTGGATTTCTGGCAGAGTACCCTCTGCAAACTGTGAAGGTACTCTGGATACACAATTCGCTGTTTCTTAGATGCAAATAAATCATCACCACAAGAAGTTTGAAATTCCCATCCACATATTACGTTCTGGCGTGTCACGGGAGTCACTATCGGAGTCTCCTTTGGGGCACATATTTCGTCAAATACAACAAAGGAACTCAATGAACACATGCCAATAACGGCTCTAGCTACTATTGATGTGTACAGTCGGCACTGAAGAAAAGGCCCCATGGAGACGATTTCCTCGAGTTCACACGATAGACTCTTATTCGATATATTCGGCGAGTTTGCCTGGAGGAGAGTCAGTAAGTGTAGGCAAAGCACCAAAAAGTCACACAAAAGAAGACAGTGATACAACGCTTGTTGTACTCCACCTGCATCTCTCTGGTGACGGTGATAGGCCCACATTTCAGCAAACGACTCGCAAAGGTCAAGACCTGTCAATTTAGATGAAAAAATGATTTTCATGCAAACACAGAGACTACGCAAACAGGTTAAGACACTGTCAATCTCAGAAGCAAAGTATGTTCGCGCAGTTTCACTTCTCTTTACAGCCTTCACGCATGTCTGTAGCCCCCAGCACCCCGATATGACGGATCCACTAGACTGAAAGTCAGTGCAAGTAACAAGAATTTTAAGTGCGACATGAATACGTGATGTATCTCCCCCAGAGTTTACCAAGACAAGGGCGAGAAGATCCGCACTTTCCAAAAGGAGACTTGGACCATATTTTACCTCGGTGCGGATCAGACCAACAAGAGTACCAGAAGTCAGTAAAAATTGTTTCTGCAGAGAAGGGACACGCGTGCATATTTCTTTTATCATTTGCAGCACTAAATGAATTTCACCTGGATCAGACAGGCTCAACAATCTTTTATCAAGCTCCTCAAAAATTTGGGCGGAAACGAGCTTTGTGAAAAAGAGTTCTTCATTAGCGAAACTGCATAAAAGCATAATGGTCTGAATAGTGCATTGTAGCACCCTTGATGTTGGACTCGATGCGAGCTCCACCACAAAAGCACAAAGCTGGGGGGCACCGTTTTTCTGCCTCTCATATGTCTCGTGGGTCGCACAAACCTTCACACACAGACGCACAATTGTTGATATCATCATGCCCAAGTCAAGATCTTCCATGTCGGTGCAGCGGCACACGTGCCGTCTTACCACATCCACCAAAGCATCATTGACAAGACCGGCCTCAACAACATCTTCGCTGCCAATGCGAATAGCGCTGGTGAGGAGCTGGGATAAGTAGAAAAACAGCGTTGGGCGGTGTTCCACAGTCGCGAGAAGAGCTCGAACAATGACACGCAGCCCAAATAAACCCAGTGTGCTGGTGTATACCGATGGCTCTGGCTCCACGACGTCCGCATCCCAGTGAGATGCCCTCAAGTACAAGTACAAAGAATGACTAGGCACTCTGCCACTGTCGGGCAGGGAGAGGAAAAGACAGAGCATATCAAACATTACAGTACTTTCCTCGTTTAAAGGGAATCTTGGGTCTTCATCGAGGTTGCACCACTCCACGATCGCTGACAAGCACATTTCAGGTCCATTAAAGACGGCAAAATCCTCTACCCAAACTTTTGTGAATCTGGATGTGTGCAGAAGTACTTGTAGCACACCGCGCAGTACAACAAGACGGGCATCATGACGGTCTGTTGGAACCTTAGACAAAGACCCAAGGAGCGCTTCCATTGGTGACAGCTTTATGCGTGCAAGGAGTTCGTAATTCCTTGTATCGGACAGGATAAAGGACACAGTTCGCACAAACGAGCCCAAACATGATAGATACACGTGTAGTTTCCTATCAATTAAGGAGAGTTGCGCTGAGAGTGGCAAAAAGGCACGTAAACCCGCACAAATGCACCCATCTATGGTAAGGTGACACATACACTCATATGGATTTGCTTCTGAGGCAAGCTCGACAATTCGCATGTAATCCTCAAGTCGGTCACTGCCGCTTGACACAAGGCTATCCAGCTGCGATTTCGATCCTAGCGTCCGTACCACAACGCTGAGGAGCCGAGACCTCCTAAGAGCGTCCCATGCACACAGATGGTGGGCGGGATCGCCCAACAGCTGCGTGAGAGAATGTATTGCCTGGTACTCCAAGTTGTGGTCACGGGGGGAAAAGCACAACTTCGTTGTGGAGGCCCAAAAATTTGCGAGAGCATTATCTTTAGCTAAGCAAAGAGTGTTACTTTTTCTATGAGTCTCCATGCAATCATCTTCCAACAAAATAACCAAAAACAAAAGAAGCAGAATTTAAAGCCAAAAACATACAAAGCGGATTTGAACACATATAATCAAACGACTACCCTTCATAGTAACTAGGAACAATGCATCCCAAGCAAGAAAGTCATTTGAGTGGGTAAAGGAAGAATGTGTAAGAACGCAAACGTCCATGCAATGCTCACTTCGGTAAATTCTTTGACTGCTGCTTCTTTTTAGCTTTGGATAGCTCCATCTCCAATTTTTGCAACTCTGCAGTGCGCTTGTTCTGTGTTAGGCAGCGAACAACCTTGTCAACAACGGCATCCTTGACATTGTTCGCACCATGGTCTTTCCGCAGCGCCTGAAAGATGTTTAACGTTTCGATCCAGCTGTGATTGTGTACGGCGTTAATGCCCAGAGCGTAGACTACCGGCGGGGCCTTTGTTGGTCTCCCCCGCGCCTCCTCAAACACCTTGACTGCGTCTTGCCACATATTGTTCTTCCCAAGAAGTGACAGCATTACAGAGTACGTATTGGCATCCCGCAACGAGAGATCTGTTTGCTTGTAGAACTCAACTGCTTCTTCCAACCGCGACGACCTCATAAGACTACTCAATACCGCATTGTTTGTGGTTGCGTTCTTCTGTACGCCATTCTCCACCATCCGAGCATAGAGCTCCTTTACGACATCGGGTTTCTCCACCGCGGCACTCAGGCCGCAGTTATACAGAAGTGTCAATGTTTCAGAATCCTCTTTTGTTGTATCATGGTGAGACATGGAATTGATCAGCGCAAGTGCCTTCTCCCAATCCCGTTCCTTCGCACATTGAAGCATGACTTCAGATGAGACACTCAGCTCTGCCTTCGTTGACTTTGCTATTAATGGTTCGGTAGACTCCGGTGAAGATTTTGGTCGTATTTGCAACAGACTCACAGACTTATCGGAGAGAGGAGCCCTTCCTTCGGCCTGCATAGCACTATTGACAAAAGCGACAGCATTTGGAAGTGCCTCTGCAATGGGCACATGAGTACTGTAGAAATCGGCTAACTCCACAATTTCTTTGTTCATCTTTTTTTCGTGGAGAAAGGGGAGCAGCTTTCTCAGAGTGTACTTTGCCTTAAAGATGGGTGCCTTCTTCACAACGCGAACCGCTGATCGTAGGGCGTCCTCCGTCTTGGCAGCTCTCGCCATCGCGACGGCGGCAAGAAGGTGTTCTGGACGGATCCCTATCTTTGCCTCTTGCTTTTCGATTTCGCGAAATAATTCCTGGGGGTTCTCTGGATCAAAGGACTTCCAACAGAGCACAGTGAGGATTGCAGGGTCTTCTCTGTTAAGTCCACGCTTGCAAACCTCCTCGATAACGTTATTGACGTTTTCATTAGAGGTAATCCGTAACAACTCTGCGTATATTACTTCATTCACATCACTCGTACTTATCAGTCCTGCAAGCATTTGCCTCCGGCGAGAACCTTTTTCCAGCATCGCAATCTTCAGCTTGTGCATCGTACTAAACCGCTCAGACGCAGTTAGCGTCTTCGTTACATACTCAACAATTGCTTTGACTGCTTCCTCGTCCAAACCACGCAACTTGGTCAAAAGGTTGAGCTCAAGTTGACCGGTTTTGTCATGAAAGCGTTTTTGTGATTGATCCACAAGCTGAATCGCCTCTTCCCACGACCCAGACCCCACCAATGTTGCAACCGTTTTTAACACCGTGCGATAATCTAATGCATCTCGAACACTGTTTGGGGCGGAGCGATATATTTGAAGGAATTTTTCCCCGTTTTCGTGGCGCAGCTCAAACTTTGTCACTTCATCGTGTAACCTTCTCTCTTTCAGTTCTTTTAACAAAGCTGACTTAACGGCATCCCTTTTTTCGATGGGAACATTTTTCAGGTTTCTTTCCATTATACGGACAGCTTGCTTGGATACTACAGCTGATGGCGTGGATGTCGCCACAATTTGTTTAAAGCTTTCAAAACATGCGTCCCATTGACTGCAAAAGTACATTTTTGCCAATGCGCTTGTCCCCACATCCATGTGACGTGCTTGAGTCACTGTTGTTCTAGACTTGACCCATTCGTCTCCAAGTTTTTTATGTTCCTCTTCTCGTTGTATTGCTAGCCGTTCTCTTTCAGCAGTTTCTTGACTCTTTCGTAGTTGTTCGATTTCTTTTTCACGCTGAAGTTCCCACACATCGACGGAGATGGTCTCACTTTGTATGGGCTCTGGACGCTGAGAACTTGAAGAAATCACTCCCGAAGAAATTGGCACTGTGATTGAATGTCTTGTAGGTCTTTCTGGCGTCTGTGGGGCAGGCTCAAACTGCGCAGTCACTACACGATCAACAGAAAGAGATGGCTTTGAGTCCGAGATACCTGGTGCCTCAAAAAGTGGTTTGTCTTCTGCAATAGTGGCCTTCACTGTTTCAGCAGTTAGAGGCCTCTTCTGAAGAGTGTCCGTTGCCGCTTCAACCTCCGCCACCTCCTCCACGATTGGTATCTCAGAGCTTGTACGGTGCTGAGGAGATCCCATCTTCTTCTGATCAACCACAAAGTCCAGAGTTGGGACCGGACGATCAGTCATCAAAGACTCATTTGCCGAATGCACGAGAGGTGTGGGAACTGTTCTGGAGGTGTCTGGTTGCGCCTGTTGCTGCTGCACTTTTTTCGTTACAAAATCCAAGGTGGGCACCTTTTGCGTATGCGGTTTCTCTACAACTGCCGCGTCTTTTTTATTTGGGCGCTGCAGTGGGATGTCAATCAAAGGGACTCGTTTGGCGATGCTAGTAGAGTTTCGAATGATGTTGGCCTTGGGAGTTCGCTGAGTGGCCAAGAACTCTGCTACCTTATACGATACACTTCCCAGGGAGCCACCCTTTTTCCGGCTTTGAGACTGGATTCTCTTCAACTGCTGGGCATAGAGTTTGCTCGTTACGTCCAGCGGCTCTACAGCTCCTACCTTTTTCGCCGAGTCGAACAGAACCTTTGCTGCTGCTGCAAATCCGGAGGCATTACCACCCCCGTGCCGAGAAGCCATTACTATTTCTTGATTCTCCAAACAACAACAAGAGAAAGCAAGCTGTAAGTTATTCAGAAACAACAGGAATAACTGGTGTAAAAAAAAGGTGGGGGAAGGAAACTTTAGAAATGCAAAGTATACCTTTGATTCTTAGCTGACATACCCTAACTCTTGAAAAGTGGAGCTATCCCCTCTCCAAACACGTCATGTAGTTTACACGAGTCTACAACTGTTGGGAAAGGCTGCAGCATCGACACATGTGCCTTTTCCGTAGCCTCCAGAAGATCTTGCACCGTTTTCACAGGAATGCGTTCTTCTCCTATAGAGACATCAATCAACGCAACCTCGCGAAGCATTTCTATTATATCGAAGTATGCGCCATAGCTTATCTCGATGGAATGAGGTTCACCCAGTGATGCACTAAACATCTGCTGAGCCCTTTTCGTCGTTACGAACAGACTGTCAAGAGGCAAACGACTATCACTTGGATTCACCCGAAACATTTTGGCAGTTTCGTTACCTATAACAGCCACACTGATAAATATAATAGGAAGTCGAATGGTTTGAATAAATTCGACAAATCGGTCATGAAATATCTGACGAACTACTGCATGAACATCCTTCACAGTCAACAGGCCATCATGCCCCTCTGGAACATGGTAACCTTCTTCGATCTTCATCATGAGACCACAGACAGCTGCTGAAGCAGATTGCAATAAGCGTCGCACGTCTCCGTAGTGGGATGCCGTTTGATTACACAGATAGTTTATGGCCTTTTCGGCAAATAACGTTGGTTTAATCTTCCCAACTCGACGAAGAATAATCTCCTTCAATTCTGGCAAACTGTAAGGCTCAAAAACTAACCTTTTGGTGATGTCGAGACGGCTTCGTGTTTTCGCGTCGGTTGCTAGCTCCATACTGTTAGAGATCGTTATGAGCTTACAGCACGCAAATGGGAAGCTTAACCAATCAACAATCCTGAAAAATGCCTTATGATGCTTTTTCAGTACCTTGTCCACTTCATCTATGACAATCACGCACAAGGGAGTTGGGCTGCTGCCCCACCCTTGTCTAAAACGTTTCTCAATCAATGCAGCACATTGGTCAGGAGGACAATTTTCAGTGTATCCCAGTCTCGCCTTGCTTAAATGCGAATTTAATGTCCAGTAGATATCGGAATTCTTCTGAATAACATAGCCATTAAGAAACACTGCCGTTGGCTTCTTCCCTGCAGGCGCTGAGTGTGCAAGAAGAGCAAGTGCATGATTTACAGATGCTGTCTTCCCAGTTCCTGGCATACCAAAAATTTGCATAACAGGATGAACGTTGTCATAAAGGAAGTCCACAATCGCCTTTACGTGAAAATCACGGCAGGTGAGTTCCTTTGCGGCAGCTGCGCTTGACACACTCAGCGCGGCCACACCGGCGCGAAGAGCCACAGTGGCCTCCTTTGTTGTATCGCCCCTTCTACGCTTCATGGTGTCCCTCAAGCCGTGAGTGAACAGTATATAGCAGAACATATATAGACACACAAGCAGAGAAAGAGAAGAGAATCTAATCAAAAGGAGATACTACCCCCACATCCCTGCCCATGAGCTCAAGCCAGTTGGTGCTTTAAAAACACGACAATAGGGGTAACTACAGTGCACCCCCATACTACACTTCCACAAAAAGCTTTCATACACTACACCTATCAGCAAAAGAGAAATACTAAACCTGACGAAGGTACCTTGCCTTCATAAAAAGCTCGATAACCCTAAAGCATGCCAAATAGACTTGTTCCTTGGTTGCTTATTTGCCGTAACCAAACGAATCTTCCCATTACTCACAAAATAAACCTCTCGCCACGTCGGAAGAATTCCTATACCTTTATATCCACAATTTCCATACTCATACATCCCACGGTCCCACTGAAACTTTCGCTGAAAGGTGTTTTCATCAATTTTCTCAATTGGTACTGGATCGAGATAACCTTTCTTGACGAACCGAGATTCATCTTTCAGCAGGCCCTGTACGTTTTCCCCGTGATGCATTCCCCCCCAAGGGCATCCCATTGCCGCTCCAGGTGCAAGCATTTCATAGGCTTTCTCGCCATCTCCCTGACGGCGAAGGGAGAGGAACTCTTCTACCACCTCCATGACTATATTCTCTACTTGGATCGAGTAAAGGGTGCAGAAGAACCAAAAAAAAAGCGCAGTTTTGCCCTCAGAAAACAATGTGCTAGCTCATGTACCTGAGACCCCTAACCTGATGTCACCATTCAAAAGCACCACCTTACTATGTACGATCAGCGTACTTCGAATCAAAAGACTCTCGGGGTGATTGCTCGGCAAAGCTCCTGGCAACGTCCTCATGAAACGTCCGTTCACTTTCTATGTTCCTTTCCACAGCGACACGAGCTCGCTCCGCAAGTTCGAGCGGGTATGATGGATCAAGCGCCATCCGGGCAGCTTGAGCCACATCGTCCTCATCATCCCCACTCTGTTCTTGGAGCAATTGCAGCATACGCTTTTTGTAATCACCCCAATCACCACCCATCAGTTCCACTTGATCTTTCATCACAGCACGTCTCAGTTTATTCAGGCTTTTATTTCGCCAGTGGGAAATTACAGAGGACGGTGGTCGTGCCCCAGGTATGTTGTGAATGTAAGCAAAGTGGCCAATGGACTCTACCTTGTGCAGTATCCATAGCTCACTCCGCAAGCACTTCTTCATTTCAGTGGGTAGTCGATAGCGATGCTCTGTCGGGATATGAGAAAGGACACCCTTGTTTCTGATTGGTAAGTCATAGTAGTCCAAAAGCACCCACTTTCGATTGGCTTTTATTTCATATTCAATAGGGTTAGGTTCATGCGGCTTTAATATGGAATTGAGGTTTGTACAACAAATTGCAATAACCCCAGAGTCAGAAAGGTGACGCCCCGCCTCGTCAAAAAATTGCTCTAGTCGGCCTGCAAACCCCTCCATCCCAGGTGCGTACTCACTGTTGTTTTCAGCAAAAAGGGAACTAACAGACCCTTGATCAGGATAAAAAACTATCAAGTCATATTTGCGCACCAGCGACGACTGGGTAACACTGTCAGTCTCTGGGAACATCTCACCCACTCGAAAACTGATCAGTTCATAACCTTTACCCATGCGTTGGGCATCTTTCCGACTTGAGGCCACGGCTCTCGGATTCGGGTCAATACCCCGAACAATCGGTACTCCACATTCCTTCGTAGCAAATGCAGCAGCACCACAGTGACTCCAAACCACCAGTGCTCGATTAAGCATCAGAGGACCTCTAAAATTTTTGAGCCATCGGCTATACAACAAGAGGGGTTCAATATCGATCTTAGTTGGAGCTGAAACCCCAAAAGGCGGATGGACCTTGCATTTCCTGGGAAGCAGAGGTACCAAGGTCGCCCCTTGTTCAAAATGTGAGAAACTTCTCAAGAGCTGAAGATACTCATCATAGGTCAAATGAGTATGATCTACAACAGGGAAGTACTCTTCTGCAAAGATTTGAAACCTCTTCCAAAGAACCTGCGACCATTTAAAGTTGTCAAAGTAAACGTTTTGGATCCCAAAGCTAGTGTTCAATTCTGGATCATTGAAATCATCCAAAGCCCAAAAATCTCGACGAATAAGCAAGCGGCTACAGAGCTCCTTCAGTCGTAGCTGTAACCCGACAACGTCTATTGAACTCACAGCAGGATACTCTGATTGGGTCAGATGTCTAACACCAATGTGAGCTCGGTGTATAGTTTCAATCTTATTTAGTGGGGCAACCAAAAAACCATTCTTCACCAAAGAAAAAACACTATCAATCGGCTCTGAACCATCAAGAGGCACATATCCTAGTGGATACCTATTGGGATCCTTTGTAGCCTCTGGGCGCAATATGAGAGCTCGACATAAGCCTGGAGAAGTTAACTGTCGCAATCTTTTCATCTTTAAGGGGCAACAAGCAGGAGAAAAGAACCACTGAGTCGATAAAAAGCTTGAATAGGCAGATTTATGGAAGATAACAAAAAAAAAAAGAAATCGTTTGTGTAGACACGAAAGAAACGTGAATCAACAGCAACAAACAATCGTTTTACGAGCCGCGGCCTCGCTTCTCTATGCGAGGCACTACCTTGTTCTTTAATGAGTAAACTGGTGCTGTAGGCGCCCTAAGTGGAGTACAGTCTACCAAACCACCCCAGCTTATTGTTATAGCCTTGCAGCGATCGTTGACATAATGCGTTCGAACTGCAAAATTGCCACTAAAACCGCGAGGGACAACAGAGTACAGCAGAGTATTACGCGGGAAAAACATGGTGATATTCTTTGAGAACCCCTGAATGAACTCAAAAAGCTCGAAGAAATTGGTACCAATAGTTTCACACAAGGAATTATCCGTATGGAAAAAAGGGGCGCCAGCGTACAGCTCTCCACCCCAAGGAGGAGAACAATGGACTGCATCAACAACAAAATCATTTTCCTTTATTGATTTAAAATCACAACAAATGAATGAAACCCGATCAGAGACGCCGTACACCTCCACGTTCTTTTTCGCTGCCTCAATGGCTTCCTCATCATTGTCAACAGCAATCACCTTGTCATAAACCTGTGCAAGTTGAACTGTGTCGCCACCACATCCACAAAACAGCTCAAGAACACAGCCCCTCTTGTGAAGAGTTTGGTGAATCTCGGCTGATGAGCGGGCAATGCTCTCAGGCGTTACCTCGCACCAACCCCTTTTCGTCATCCAAATGCCTTCGTCAAACCGAGACCACAATCGATGACGCTGTCCATAATATTTTTCTACGGACGGGTCTTCCGAAAACGATTCGCCCGGTTTTGCCATGCTCTCACTGTTCCCTGGCCTTCGCGAAACCTACGCCGCCA